CCAGGAAGGGAGAAAAGGAAAGCTGAGAGTGATTCTCTCATTTGGAGCTCTCTGCAAATCCCAAATTCAGGCATCCACTCAGGCATTTCCATCTGGACAGCTACCAGAGTCTCAAACTTAGTACAACCCAACTGGAATACCTGATTTGCCTCCTTCCAGTTCCCCAGCCCTGCTCCATCTCAAAAAATGAGGCCAGCCTTATTACTAAATAAGCTTACCATCTAAGAATAATAACAACTAAGTAATAAAAATACAACTAATTTAAATAAAAAAACATAAATCAGTTGCTGCTCTGTTGGAAACTTTTCAAAGATTCCCTATTTCACTATGTAAAGCCCTATGTTCTTATAGTGGCCTATGAGATCTGCCCCAATGGTCCTCCCCTACCATGTCTCTCACTCCTCCTAATGACCCTCCCACAGCAGGGGCTCCAGGAGAGGTATCTGTATTCTGGTTGGTACTTCTCCCATATACCTCACTGGTTCTTCATGTCCTTACTCAAAAATTCACCTACCCCTCTCCATATTAATTTTCAAGTGCAACCCTCCCCGGTATGTCTGCTTCTCTAATTGTTGTTCACAGCATTTTCTCCTAATAAACTGTATACTTTAAGTTTGCCTGCCTCCTCCAGCTAGACGATAAGCTCCAGGACAGCAAAGATTTTTGTTTTATTCCTGGAGATATTACCAGCACCTAGAACCGCACTGTTTGTTTCATTGGAATTCAACCGAGTTGTACCTGCAGGACGTACATGTGATTTTGAAAATACAAACAATAACTCAAGATATTCTTCACACACAATTGAAATGACAATAGTTTGGATATTTTACCACCACAGCTTTCTCCGCCCCCAAACCTACTTGTTGTTTTGTTTAGGAAGTTCAAAACCCCGTAGCTGGTTCGTGTTCCCTGTACTGGACAGCTGTGCTGCACAATGCAAGCTCTCGTTATCCGCCCAAAGCGCGAATCTACATCAACTTTAAGCCAAATGTGCACTACGGTGGCTGCGGCCCGCCAGCTACCGCGTCGCATGTGGCGGGAATCGGACCCACCCGTGGCCGCCCTCCCCTCAGCGTCCGGAGCTAGGTCCAGCGCGGTAGTGCAGAATGTTCCCCAAGATGCGAGTTGCGGCCCCGGAAGCCCTTGTCTTGGATCCGTGGCCTTGAGCCCATTCAACCCCGCAGGTCTGCACTCACCAAGCGACGCTCCACATCCCGCGAATCCCCGCGCGCCCGGCCCGCCCATCATCGCATCCCACCAATCCCGGCGCGCCTGTCCCACCCATCGCCGCGCTCTGCCAATCCCCACGCGCCTGACCCGCCCATATCCGCATCTTGCCAATCGTTGCCGCTCAGCTCCGTCCGTCATCTTGCGCCGAATCCCGCCGATCCCCGCGCGCCCTTAGCCGGGGAAGCTCAAGCTAAGGAAGCGCTTAGCCGAGTCCCAGGTTCCCTTGGCAACGAGGGGCGGGGAAAGGCGCAGCGGGTCCCGTACGCATGCGTGCACGCTGGGAGCTGGGTGGTTGGGCGCGCGGTGAGAGGTACTCGGTCGTTTTGGGTCTCATTGACTGTCAGGCCTCTCCCTGAAGCCCTGCCCCGCGAAATTGCCTGGAGGGTCTCCCAAAGTCTCCCGGGGTCCTCGCTGTCCCTGCAGAGTGGCTCACCTGAGCGCAAGGGATCGCAAGCGGCCGCAAGTGAGAGGATCCTGGCAGAAGGAAGGAGGCGCCAGCGGCCAGTTCCTCTCTGCCCTCCAGTCCTGCAGCCCTGTGCATCCGACCCCGGCGGGCTGCTGTCAAGTGCTCCACAGCGGCCATCCCATATTCCCCACTTCTCCACACCCCAGTATTCGAATTCTTTCTACCCACTGATTCGTAGAATTTCTAACTGAACCCATCGGTTCTTCCCTGTACAGTTTTCCTCCCTCTCCCACCTTTGCTGTGAGTCTCCGACAGAAGTTGATATGAACACACTATCCTCCTGTAGTGGACCAGCGTGATAGTGCACACCTGTAATCACAGCTGCTGGGACCCTGAGACTA